TTGGATATATTTTTAAATGACTTTTTGTTTTAAACTTATGCAATAAAGTTCTAATAATTATAATTGTAATAACATAATTTAATGCGTTTACCACACAACGTAGTGAACGCGAATGACGGTGTACTGCGATTTGTCCGTTCTATGAACTATTAGTTCGAGAATCTATTCGTCATAAAATATTTTAAGATCAGTCGCGATACGAGATCAGTGCCTGGTATTCCATTAAGTATTGTTCTCTCGACATTTGGCGCGGGGTCGATGGCCTTTGTATTCGACTGTTTATTTTAGCTTTGTCACGAGCGTCGTTTTGTAAAATATTACTATTTATTGTAGAGAAGTCACAGTTCTACTTACTGTTGCTATAGCGATAACAATTTAAATATATTTTTTGTTAAAATATTTATTAGTGAATAATTTTTTATCTGAACACTATTATTCTATATGTGAATGTAAGTTGATCGTTATTCGAAAGTCCAAACGCACTTGCGAACGTGCATGACAATACTATCGGTACCACCGAGTCAGGAATGAAACGTCGCCAATCGTTTTTTTTATTTTCATAATATAACCGTTTCATAAAACCGGCCAAGTGCTAGTCGGACTCGCACACGAAAGGTTCCGTACCATTATTTATAAAAACGCCAAAAAATTATTTCTGTTGTATTGGAGCCCCACTTAAAAATTTTTGTTGCGTGTAGTGTGTGTAGTGTGTGTTGTTATAGCGGCAACAGAAATATATCATCTGTGAAAATTTTAGCTGTCTAACTATCACGGTTCATGAAATACGGCCTGGTGACAGACGGACAGACAGACAGCCGAGTCTTAGTAATAGGGTCCCGTTATCGGTACCCTTTGGGCACGGAAAGCTAAAAATGTATTAAGAATGTTATGTTAGCCGGTATACTTTATGAATACTGCTTTCAAACTCGATGCCCAAAATTTTCAGCATCACAAATAACAAAAAGTTTTTATATGCATGAACAGTAGTGAAAACATGTTTTAAGCCTTTTTAGTTTAATAATAATCATGTTTGCTTCCTTTCTATCTAAATTATCAGATATGTACATATTATCTTCCAAGCTATCGGCGATAGATACACTATTTGTATGTATGAAACCTGTTCTAAATCGCCTTTGAATAGGTAGAAAGCCCTTTCACGAGGCACACTCACATCCAACGCTCCCATTCTGCGGGATAGTTTTCTGTGTCGGCCTGTCAGATATAAATCTCCTTAGATCACGAGGTCGTTAATGTGATGTTCGTGTCGTCGCCGTCGCCTATACATTGATACCGTTACTCCATTGTCGATTCCAATGCGCGGACCTCTCATATTTGTCCGAGCAAGCGACTGTATGATTTAGCTCCGCGTTTGGCACACGACATTGTTCGCTTTTTAGTTCGATTATAACGTCCAACGCAGTCTCAATACGAGTCTGTTTGCGCCTCTTGTGGATTGAGAGGAGGAGGAGAACGCTGGAAAATGGACGTTAGTTTGGTTGGCTCCCTTTGAACCAACAATTGGTCCAACTTGTGTATAAGAAAAACGATCGAAAGTATTGTATCCTGTTCCTCCCCTAAAGGCAAATAGATTAATAGCAAGTCCGTAAATATTATAGTTTAAAAAAGTTTTTGTAATACCGCGACCACAAAATATAATCGCAATCAGTTGAATAGATTAAGACAAGCATAACTAAGGAACAGAACTAACAAAATCATTCACGTAAATAGAGAGAATTCCAATGTGGATCAATACATTGCGATTCCTAAGCGGATTTTCCACCTTTTTAAAGGCTTTTAATAGATCACAAAGCAATGAAAACGAATGGAATCACACCTTTCCACCTCCATTAAATAACATTATGCTTAAAGCTTTTAATCCATATTTCACTTTCTATTTCCAAGAATGTATGTACTAATAGCACCCCGGTGCTAATGTACTCATTGGCTGCATGGGGTGGCGTTTGATGTGCCGGCCGCGATAAGGCTCGGCCACGCGACACTTCCTCAACCCCTTCAAGCGAGGGTGGGTAGGTTTCCCTTCCGTCTTTATTGATTAACACCTGAGGAAATGCGGTGGATGGTGGTCAAGAATCTGTTGTCACCAAATTTATACTATTGCAGTGTAATAGGCCATTCGACGATTACTTAAAAGGATTCATTATTCGATAATTTGTTCGCTGTTTTTTTTCTTTCGTTACTTTTCATGTTTGACAGCGTCACAGTTATACTAGGAATGATAGATGTTAAGTTAGTGAATAACTCGATTATACGGTTGTACCGATAAAATCTTACTTTTGTTAAGTACCAATGTACGTAAATGATTTTCAAAATCTTTGGTGTAACTTGTCAGCTCTTTTCTCCAGTTATCTAATACGCATTTTAAAGCTCTTACGAGACACTATACTTCCTTCTTACTCGAATTTCCGTTAATCGTTAGATATTGAGGTGGCAAATTTCACTTAATTAAGGCTCTTAAACTATTAATACTATATTTTTTCATTTAAACGACCTAACGACCTGTGCAAAGGGAGGAGGCCTATGTTCATCAGTGGACTCAAACAGACAAATGATGATGATGATGAATATTAGAAACCTAGTTTACTCGTGCGAACTTTTCGCACAGATATCATGTTCAGTACCGAATGGTAATACAATAATATTAAAATAAGTATTTATCTATGAAACTTATTTTATTTTGGAGTCTTTAACATGTTCTAACAACTGACCTCTTTCGTTTAAAAAAAATATCAATAGATGGCATTATCATATATTCGAAAGAAACTAGCTTTTCTCCTTTCGTCTTATGTTTCGACAATAGCGGAATTTATAATCTTTAAAATAATTTAATATATTTTATTTTTTAACAATTTTAAGTTTCATTATTAACTAAGTGAGATTTGTATAATTAATGAATGCATCGACTAAATCTTCCCATTACCATAACCTGGCTCGCGTATTGACAAAGACGGTCATATTAGAAGGACTGGTATATAAATAGCTTGCGCTGTAGACGAATCCAGTATTGCCTCGCGACAAGTCGTATTTATAAATGTACTAGCGACCGGCCCCGGCTTCATCAAGGTGCAACTCAGTTTGATTAATTTCTCCAATAAATTCCTCATGTAGATGTTGTGGCTCTCACATATTTCGAATATCAAACAAAATTGCTGTATTCGATAAACCATAGCTATTGGACAGGCACAATTTTCCTGATTTCGTTATAATACATAGCCATCATGTTATACATACAGGTATCTATATGTAGGTATGTATATCATATATAAAATTTTGTTTTTTCAATTTGTGTATTTCAAATTCCAAATATCAATATGATCTTCAAATATTTGAAGGTCATATTGATACCTGGATGATATACTCATAAATAATTAAGGTACCTTCATACACTTCATTTACTCTTACGCGTCGCAACGCCAAGCTCCGTTACGTTAATGCCCCTGCCTAATTTAGGCTATTGCGATAAACGAGTATGTAAATCTGACTGGAAATATGTTATCGCTCGTTAAATATCTCGCAAGTCTTTCTAGTAAACTCTTGATGCTGCATAATACCTCAGATCGTAATCATAGGGCGAATAAGGATTTAGAGTTATATTTTTGTATTTCCAAATGTTGTTTTGTATTTTACATAAATGCCGTTAAATTACACAATAACAAATTTCTTAATAATTCTAACATGTGTATGCGAACTTACATGAAAGAGTTGTATTAATATACAGTTATGATATGGTTGTTATTGTTTGCGTATGTGGTACAGTTTCGACAAAACTGCTATCGTTATAATTTCTCTCTGGATGTTTTGTAATTTGATAATTACTTAAATCTACTATTGTGTTGCATGAATTGGTAGGCTCATCCGGGGAAGTAGCACTACCTCGCAGTAGACTGCCGTGATGTGGACGTATTATACTTCTGCGTTTCGACTGCTAGGTGAGGTAACTGGGCCATGTTTTTAAAATGGTGACTGCAGGTCGGGGTGCGATAAAATACAGTAGCACGTCAGAGAAATAAAAGCCTTACGTGCTTCTTTATCACCCTTCATCTCGAAATGAATTGACTGATAATAATTAATCGATAATTACAATGGTTGTACAACAAAATCATTTGATTTTATTTTCTGCCTGCCTGTAATTTAGTACCTCTATCGAAAGATTTAGAGTAAATTAATGACGCAAAATATCTGTTTCTGCAGACATACGGTCGCATGTTGTACCAGGTTACGAAGGAATTAAAGTCGGCCACATTTACGTCATGGCATTCAAGTAATGCTGGTTTATTGAGTAAAGAACCTTTTTTAGAACTAGATTTTTTTTATATAGTATTAAGAAGGCGGAAAAAAATCTAAGTGTATAGGTACGCGTCGAAATTTCTTTACATAATCTTTCGCGTATCGTAAAAGCTATTTCTTTGTTACATATTTTGCATTGATTTATATACCATATATGGCCTATATGTATTATATATATGTCTTTAAAAGGTAAACTTTTGTATCATTCAAAATGGCATGAAAGTAATGTTTTAAAAACTTTGTAACAAATTTTCTGCATCCAAGATAACTGTAATTAATTATATTCAATTATATTAATTAAATTATATTCAAAACCATATGTTTTTGTAAACATGTGCCTCGCAATAATTTGAGCGCACATAATGGTTTCGTCTGTAATCGTTAAACAATCAGTCATAAAATAAAAAGTTTATTTTTAGTAATTTACGAAATTATTATGTAAGAGATTATCTTCGAGATTATCGCCCTGTTTCTGAAACACAGATCATCGCAAATGTTAATTAATCGGCTGTCAAATGGCTTTTCAATTGATTGATTTCATTTGAGTTGCCAAAAAATGGTTAAATTTAGGTCAATTAAGGTCATTCTGGTCAATTCGGAGAGTTTAAGCATCCTTTTGGCGACTAAAATGAATCTACGATGATCAGTGTGTCAGACATGCAAATAAAATTTATTAAATATGTTATATACGACTAATGGTAACACTGCAAAATAAGAGCCTATATATGTCCCACTGCTGGAAAAAAGCCTCATCCGTACAGAGGGTATTAGGATATAGTCCACCATGCGAGGCCACTGCGGATTAGCTTTATTGAATTTTTATGATTTCATTGTAGTAAAGTAACCTGCTATCTCATTGACTAAAAGCTTTAAGAGAAAAGAAATTAGGTTTTATGATAACAATTTAGATACAAAAATACGATACAGTAATACTTTGCAGATAAAATAATACGATACATTGTGAAAAAAAAATATATTTACTATACTGATTTCCATACGGTTATATAAAATTAAATAATATTTGAAACTTATTTCTGAGTTCTTGGCGTTATTATTGTATAAATATTAATATGGCATGTCGTTGATAAGTAATTACGAATTATAAGTCTATTTGAATTATCACTATATAATATAAAAAGATGTTTACCCTGCATAGAGAGTAGGTATATGAGCATACAACACGTATTGAGAAGTGAATAATTATGCCGTAAATACGGTATGACTCATTAGCTTTCACTTTCTCTTATTGAATTGTATGGCGTGAAGAATTTGACCCGTTTTATTCGTTTAGTTGCTAAACGAAATCTGGCATTAGATTCTATTCGATGTAATAAACAAAACTTTAAAGTTAATTTAAAGCATTAAAAAGTGTTTACATGATACCAGTTTCGATACCATTCAAACGTTAACTAATTTTTACGTAATATAAAACTTACGTTACTGTACACACATGTACACACATACCTACGTCATATTCACAGAGATGTATATCGTTTCGATTCATCGTGTGTATGATGTTGGATACTATCATTTTCATCGTCACGCACGTCGGTATAGTCTGCCTGAAACTTGCATAACTGCCTCACTAGCTAATTAATATCAATTAATTCTTCTGTATATTTCTACACATTGACATTGTTCTTATAACATTATCAAATTAACCTAAGCTTGATTTAATGATTCATCAGTCAAAGTAAACTAACAGCAAAGGACTATAAAAGGACTATAATCCACGCAACCCACTGCGGATTGGCGAAGACATATCTAAAAAATTTTTTCGTTTTTCTTGCGAAAATATGCAGGTTTCTTGATGTTGTCCTTCACCGCTGAGTACGTGACACTTCAGAACTTAAAATCAATGCCCCGGTGCTGGCACCAATGAAATTATCATTGGTGCCAGCACCGGGGATTGAACTCAGGCTCGAGCGCCCGAACACGGCCCTTATTCAGTAAAGAGTGCTATTAATTCGCGACGTTTGTCTGTTTTCAGTTTTCGTCACCGACGGGCGAGAGCGTGGCGTGCAGCAGCACGTCCTCGTCGACCTCGTCATCCTCTTCTTCCTCATCGTCTTCCTCCTCCTCCTCGGACTCGGATTCCGCGGAGGTTGCGGGCTCAGCTCACGTGTCGGCTGATGACTCGAGTGCGGCCCTCGCTGCCGCATGCCAGCTACAGGTAATAACATCATGGTATCTGAAGTTGCAAGGGCTCATCAAATTATTTTTTATGTAAAAAGTAAACGTGAAATTATTATACCTCGTCTTAGTTGGTCTTCCGTGAAACAGCAGTAGTTGTTGTGTGGATTAATTATTTTCGTGTTGTTCAATTTAGACTTTCGTATTGTTAGTCAAACGTTTCAGCAGTAAGTACCTAAGAGTGTCTCGCACTAGACGGATATTTTCGACGTAAACGCCGAATAGTCGATACGGAACGAAAGCTGTTATTAAACCTTGGCAGGTTATTGACGATGCGGACCTTGCGGAACTATTTCCGGAACAAACCGCGAGCGCGCCGGCGCAACAACCCAATTTCACCAGCTTCCCCGTGCAGAACGGATCACCAGATAACGACGACAAATCCATCGCGGACAATGGTAAGTTAATCTTTTGAAATATTAATTTCATAAAAAGGTGTTTTTTGAATTTGGAAAGCGTTGTTTTGAAGAAAATTAAAATATAACTCTAATCGACGCGGAAATCACTACATGGTATAAAACAAAGTCATCCCGCTGTCTGTCTGTCCCTATGTATGCTTAGATCTTTAAAACTACGCAACGGATCTTAATGCGGTTTTTTTACTAGATAGAGTGATTCAAGGGGAAGGTTTATATGTATAATGAATAGCACCCGTGCGAAGCCGGGGCAGGTCGCTAGTTAAATTATATGACACATAAACAGTTCTTATAACGTTTCTAGCTAAACCAAACAATGTACAATATTGATAATAATTACTACAACTAATGACAATGTTATTGAATGTTAGTTGAAACATCAAGTGGAGTTATATTTAAGGAAATTTTACCTGTTATTAATACAAAATTTATCCCGTTGAATGGTTTAAAAATGGTGTAAATATTTTTTTTCAATTACAGCCGACGGCTCCAGTAGCGAAATGGAGCTCACGCCGCAGCTCGTAACAGCTGCAATCCAAAGGGCAACGGCAGACTCCTCTGGATCCGAAAACGAGTGTTCCAACTCCGACGTGGTTAATCAAAGTACCACTCACTATGCGTCTAGCTTACTCCAGCAGTTTGTAGCGCAAACACAACTGCTAAGCAGCACCGCACCTTTGAACTCCATGAACCCAGCGTCAACGTCTTCATTGACATGCGGCCTAAGCTCAAGCCCGATTGATAGTGTGAGCACGATCAGTGACTGCGTCTTGGGGCAAATAAACAACCTTACAGAAATACCATCCATTGGATCAAATTTTTTAAGCACCACTTCGCAACATCTTAGCCCTCAGCAGACAGAAGAACTTACGCAGATTAACAAAGATCTCGAGGAAATAACATCAGTTACAGAATCTGTGGGCTTGTCATTACCTAATCCTCCCAGTCTAGAGGACTGTGTTGACAACAATGATTTTATGAACCTGGACATCACACCAGGAGGATCAGAGTTAAGTGGCGCAAGTAATTTGTTGAAAAACTCTCCCATAACCATTATGAATTCTGATTTAAGTCAAATAGATCCCCAAAAACTTGACACGATCAGTACGAATTCTGTTGAATCTCAAGAGGATGTTAAAAACATTATTGTAGAGTCGAGGAGGAAAAGGGGGCGGCCCCGCAAAGTAAGAAAAGTGGCTGAATACGAAAATAAAGCGGTTGAATCTCATAAAGAAGATAAGTCCGTTGTGAACGTTATTAACGACTTTCACAATAATAATGATCCACCGAATGTATCGCCTGATTCAGGAATTCTGTCAAATCATAACTCTCCTACTCATTCACCTTTACGACGTCACGATCTGGATGATAGCAACGGTAGGCTAAGTAGAAAGTCTGTTCAGAAAGAAAACAGCACGATGGAAAGAAAGAACATGCGGTCTAAGTCGAAAACTAGAAGCAGAGGTCACAATTTGTCCGACTCGAGTGACTGCGATTTTAACAGGAAGCGCATAGAAAACGAAATCAAGCAAATAAAAACCGAAGCACCGTCGCCTATACCCTTGAAACAGGAACCAAATAAATATGATAAAACTAAAAAATCTGATCATAAGTTAGATATTGCCGCTTTAGATAGAATGCTGTATGCAACAGACAGAGTCCTTTATCCCCCCAGGAAGAAAACTAGTCGTAAACCACCGAGTAAAGCAAAAGTTACCAAGAACTCTCCTAAAACATTAAAGGACAAAAACCAGTACGACTCCGGTGACAGTGATGAAGACTCTATACCATCTAACAGGTCTGTGTTGTCTGGAGTATACGCAAAAAGGAAAGAACTAAACAGTAAATTGTCAAATTTACCGAAGAAAGCTAGTAAAAATTCTACAAGCACATGGCGTGACCATCAAAGCGAAAATGAGGCTGCGGCAGACGATCCCTTAGACCCAACTTGGAAGCAAATAGATCTGAATCCGAAGTACAAAGATATTCTTTCTGGTTACAAAAGTGATCACGAATTTAAGCCGTATAAAAGTTGCAGTAGACTTATAGAATCTGGTTATAAAAGTGATTATGGCTGTAGATCAGGATATAAAAGTGACTGTTATCGTTCCGGATACAAAAGTGATCATAAATCCGGGTACAAAAGCGACAAATCGGGCTACAAAACGGATTACAGTGTAAGGAGTATGCGCAGGCGTATGAGGAAACTAAAAAAGACGCGTTCAGTCCGAGACAGATCGTATTATAAAAATCAGAAGCATTTCGTTTCTGACCAAGAAATTCTGTTGTTAACAAACAAAACTTTCAGCAGCCTGAACCTAGGGCACAGTTCAAGTGACTCGGAGTGCGAATCTTACATACGTAAGCCTAATGCAAGCCCGAAGTATGTAAGTGTTTGCACTAAATACCCTATACCATCGAAATATGAATATGGATTTTCTAAAATGAATCAAAAGCATGTCTTAAGGCTTAACTCGTCTGATCCTTTTGCTCCGGGCCCTGTATTTAGCGGCTTGCAAAGGCCCGTCACTACTTACAATATCTTTAAAGTAAGTCATAATAACAATAACACTTTATTGAAGTCATCAAATAAAGTTGCTTATGTCGGAAGTTCTTTGCCGGTTCTTAAGACCGCCTTTACTCACAAGTTTGGTACATCCCCAATAAGTACTTTAAATAAAGTTACTGGTTCCAGAAAAGATATTGATGGAACCAAACATAGCTCGCTTTCACCCAAAAGTCGTAAACATCTCAAGAGCAGTAGCTCGCATTTTTGTTCAACCACAAAAAAGGAAAGTGCATTAAAACCCCTTCCGAGTATTTTTGAAAAAGCAAGAAATACTTACGTGCCTAATAAATCATTGGCTAGGAATGTATTTTTGAATTTAAAAAAGCCTCATTTAAAACCATCTTTACATGTCAAGAAACATAGAAGAACTGTTGTACTTGCCCCGCCGAAAATTAATTTGAAAGCGACTGAAAGGCCATCCAGGGTCGCAGTAAAAACTGAAAATAAGCATCATAGACACAGAAGTAAGAGGCGACATCGCTCAAGATCAGTTTCAAGATGTCGAGATTCTTTCAATAATAGAAATGTTGATTCGGCTGATCAAAAATTTAGCCAAGATATGGATACTATCATTTCTAATTTTATAAAGTTGTGTCAAATTGCACCCAAATTAATAACCAACATAGCCCATAGCCAACCGAAATGTATAGAAAAGCCATTAAGCGAACCCCCGCCACCAAAGGTTGTTAAAAGGGCGTCAAAGAAACGTAAAACGTCCGATAATCAGGAAGCAGTAACACCTACTTCAAAAAGAAGGCATAAGAAACAATTAACAGAATCGCAGAATAAAGGAGGAAAAGACACAAATGAACATAAATTACCGCTGAAAAAAAGACATTATCACATTAATTCGTCAACTAGCAATTCCCTCAGCTTGAGTTTAGTATCCACTGAATTTGATGAAAATTCTAAAAATGGCATGAGCACTGATCAATTTCTGTGTACTGAAACTGATTGTATGGGTGAAATTCAAAATAATGCGTCCTCCGAACCTCCAAAGGCTAAAGTTACCAATGAAAAAGGAAAAAAAAATAATGAAAGCTCTAAGGCGGTTCAGACAAGTAATACGCAAGACATTAAGAGTCAGACAAAGACAGAAGATAGTAACTTGAAAAATGCAAAGATCGAGGAAAATCTTGAAACCCAGAAAAATATTACCAATTCAAGTGAAAAAACATCAAATACAAATGATATAGTTAGCGATGAGCTATTGACAAAAAAATTAGATAAAGAAAATGTAACCAAATCAAGTGACATAGAAAAGTCATCACCGAAATGCAAAGAAATCGAAAACAAAACTTTAGTGTCAACAAAACAAGATATTACAAATAAAACATCACCAAGAAATGAAGCGAAATCTTCGCCTGTAAGAAATAGCGCACCAATTGTCACCCCGAAGAAACGTCATAGATTAGAAGCTGACAAAGCTGCTTCCAGCTTAGATCAGGTAGTCCAATCATTATCAAAAAAGTTATCAGAAGATAAAACCTTAACAACAAATAACTGTAAAGATGTGAACCAAAATAACTCTAATGAAGATATTAAAGACACGGAAAATGCAACTGCTCTCTCAACAAATCCCGTTGTGACAGCTGCAAACGTAACAATGGATCCTTTGAAAAGCATGTCGGCACGAACATTGTATAAAAGTTCAATCCCACCTTCACAAAAATCTGAAATCATGACAAGAAAGAAGAATAGATTAGAGGGGTTAACGAGCAATTTAGTTTCAAAAATTAATCCCAGTGCAGCTACTAAAGTTCTGGATACCTTATTGAATAATAATATTAGAAAATCCATTGAATCTCGTATACTAGAAAAAGAAAAGAATGTCACGGATTGTACATCCAAGGTAACAGAGGACAAGCCGAAAATTAAAGAATCTCCTCTTATTAATACTAGAGCTACAGTTATTAAATCACCAGTATCTAAGGGAAAACCCATGGATACCAAAAAGTCTAAGGCCTCTGAAATTTGCACAGAGACGACCGTTGTTGTCAATGTTGACAAACCAACTGGTATATTTGAACCGTCTGTAGATTTGGAAGATCAGATTCCAAAGTCATCGATTTGCGTTAGTAATATCGTGATGGACAATAAAAACAAAAGTAAAACAAAGTGTGGCGACAGCAAAGCTTCGGATCCATTATTAGTCCCAATTGATACGGAGTCGGATATCCCGCTTGCTTTGATTACGGAAACGCCAGAACCAGTTATCAGACCGAAAAGAGGCGAGTCTATAGCCTCAGTAATATCTGACAAAATCCAAGAAACTGCAATCGGTCATAATTTACGGCAACCTAAAAGGAATTTGAGCGTCGACAACGATGATGCAAATGATAAGAAAAAGAAGAAAACATCGAGCAGTATAATTAAAGAAAGTAAATTGGTCTTGCCCGCTAAAGTCCTGATTCCTAAGATCCAGGCGGAAAGGCTATTAGTTAATGATGCGATTAAGAAAATGATTACGCTATCAGCAAACAAGGTCGAAACAAATTCATCTAGTGAAAGCAAGACTGGTGAAGCTTCTAAAAAGAAGACAAGAAGAAGGAAGGCCATTAACCGGACCGGCTTTCCTAGTATTAAAAAGAAAAAGAAAAAAATCGAGCCCAACAGCTCTCATCATGTTCAATCTGACAGTCATTTTACATCTGATACTGATAATTCTGCGTTTGAGAGAGTGCCAAAAGACGGCGAAGACATGAGCAGTTTCTTGCAAAGGACAAGCAAAAGACCAGAGCTCAAAGTAGTTTTAAATAAAGAGGAATGTCCAAAGCAAGGTCGTCTAACTGTTGTGGCTCTAGAAAAATTACAAGGCAAAGAGATAGCAGCTGATAATTCAAGCAAATCCGTTACCCATCCTGAAAGAAATGGTATAGAGAAGCGGGCGACCAATTCTATTCTTAGAGCACCGGCGCTTCAGTTGAAACAAACAAGAAACGAAAAGGAATTGAAAAACCATATAAATAAATGGGAAGTTCTAAGCGAAACAGATAGCATACCGTCTTTAGCCAGCTCACTCAGCAATGATCCGGAAGATAGCATACCTTTGAGTTTGCTTAACTTGAAAACCAACAAACCAATTAATCGTTTAGACAGCTTAGAGAGGTTGAAGCGAAAAACACGCGCTATGTCACCATCACATGAAATCGAAGAAATATTCTCAAAGAGGAAAGTAGTGGAGAAAGTAACAAAAACGGGCCTCAGACCTAAGTCGAGTTTAGCTGTTCTGTATCCTGGCGAGAGAAGGTTGACGCGAAGCTCTGATAATACGAATGAAGAAAGCAAGGGAAGGTTTAAGAAAGACACCAAGAAATCCACAACCGATCTGAACATCGAGAAGTCCACCAGGCCAGTAAACGTGACAGTCAGGCGAAAGTCGAGATTGTGCCAGATTACGAAGAAACCACCCGAGGTGCATTCTAGTTCGCGAGAGAGCTCTTTGGACACGGTCGAGAGTAGGAAAATCACCTCGAAATCGCGGGAGCCCTCCGTCGACACTTTCCAGGATCTCGACGAGAATGATCCCTTGCCGTTAAACGAGAAAGAGATCGACTTCGAGAAGAGCATAGATGTGCTTTCCAAAAACATCATATGTAAAAAGAGGGTGGCCTCGTCCAGAGACGACAGCCCCGTTAGCAGCGTGGACAATAGGGACAAGCCGGTCGTGTCGAAAAGGAATCCGCGCTTGAGGAAGAAGTTTCTGGCAGCCGGACTGTTCTCCGACTATTACAAAGACGAGTGAGTATGATTTATTCTTTTATGGGATAACAAAACGTGTACGTGTAAGATGTTAAGTAATTAGCGCAGCCTTTTGACTTCTACAACTCCTGTAGGGACCCAGTTACCTTTTACATTCGTTCAATGAATGGATTAGCTTAATCATCGGTTAAAAAGCAAAAGTATATTATGTTGATTTAAGTGAATGTTTGCTGAAGCCCACTAAAAGGTTTTTAATATAATCAAATAAAATTTTAAATGTTTTTTACAATCCACGTGTATAGACAAGATTAACAAATATTTTCACACCCTACGATTTTGAAGTTATGATTATTTTTGTAATTATTTTTTTTTTGTTGTTTTAGCGAAGATCCTTATCTTGTGGTTTACAGTATATACGTTTTCATATGATGGGTTTCGAATAAGAACAGGAACGTCAAAGATTTTTGTGCAGTTTTTAGCAATAGATAGCGATTCAAAAGTACGGTTCACATGTCGCATACATCCGAGAAATTTAAATATTTGTAGTACGACGAAGTTACAAACGTATTTTTATGCGCTTTATATCTCGATTTCCTCAGCTGCCGTTGCGTTAGCCGTACTATTTAACTTTGCAGTCCCAAGCCGGAGGGCAAAGGGAAGAATCTGGTGACGCAGACGGAATACCCGCCCGGGCTGCTCGGCCCGCCGCCCTACTGCGAGCGCTGGGTGCGTCGCCGCTTGCAACACTTCGCGCTCCCCTACGACATCTGGTGGCAGCAGCACTACAACCAGCCGGTGCCCTCTTGGAATTACAAGAAAATACGCACAAGTGCGTATACACGTTTTGTATTATGATTGTATTTATCTTTTCGAATGCGATGTATTTTGTATTTTCTTTTCTTAAAACCGGATATATAGAAGTGGGTGAATATCGAAATAGAAATTTTGTACTTTCATAAAACGTACAGTTACTCATTCATATACATTACAAATCACAAAAAAAATCTAGGTGGCTTACGCTCCATAGTCCAACTCTACAGTGTTATAAAGATCTTATGTTATGTGGTGGAAATGGGAACTAACGCCGCCATCTTGTGAAATGTCAAAATCTTTGTTTAGTAAATATCACAATATTTCTTTTTGAGATCAGGGCCAAATGTCCGAGGTATATAACTTAGAAGAATTAATTTCTAACTTAATAGAAAGCAATATCTGTCCAGTAGGTTTTTCGTGATGCACTCCGGCCGAGCTCTATCATATTATATTGATGTATAGCTGATAGCCTTTTAATTCAATATACTTGAGCAATCTGAGTTCGATCGCCGGTGCCAGCAGCAATGGAATAATAAATTTTAAGTGCCGACTTTATTACGAGATCAACGGTAAAGGAATAAATTGTGAGACAACCTGCATATTTTTATAATAATAACAAAAAAAATATTTCGAAAACACGTGAAGTTCGCCAATCCGCAGCTGGGCCGCGTGGTGGCCTATGCCCTAATACCCTCTGTAAAAATAGGAGGCCTGTGCCCATCAGTGAGATATGTAACGTATGATATATAAAATGTTAAATGAAATAAATTACTTTAATTCCGCCCCCAGATGTGTACTACGACGTGAAGCCTTCGGCCGAGGAATGCGAGAGCGTGGCGTGCAATTGCGCGCCGCCCTCTGGCTGCAATGAAGACTGCATCAACCGCCTCGTCTATTCAGAGTGCTCGCCCCAGCTCTGCCCCTGCGGGTGAGGCGCCCATCTCACTATCCCCCCCCACTCCTGGCTTCCTCCTATCCCTCCCATATAGCATTTCCCATATGGTACATATGACACCAGCGCACCGCAGTTGGTGTAATTAGATTGCAATTCTATAGACCGCTATCACTTTCCGTATCATACGTTCTATATCATCTGTCACATTCAATTACATAATTATTTCATATAATGTAAAGTGGAGAACAATTTATAAACGTCGCGCAGTATGCACATGCGTCGCCTATATTATTTAACATCATTGGCACTTTTCCCAAAAGGGCATGAATCAGATTTCTTCGAGTTTCACATTTCATACTACACGAAACTTCTTCAGACATTTGAAGTGTATGAACGTAAAAGTAGTGTGGGTAGAAAGTTCTATTTTGTATTCTTTCTAAACGATAACAGCCAAAACTGATGCCAACAGTATGATTGGGAGGAAGTCGAACCCACAACCCTCGATGACAACATAGGTGCATCAAATGAGTTATCACATATAACCATTAAATTGTTGAAATGTATTTCATTAAACATTCAAAATCAAGTGCAACTCATAATCACGCCTCACAGGAGATCGATATAAGGCTGTACGTTAAAATAATAATAAAAAAACGAGGTAAATGCTTAAAAAATAGTTTTGTTTAACAAAGTGTAAATATAACAAATAGTTATTAAAAAAACCGTCGTAGACGTGAAATAGGAATACAAATCTTATACGCAATCGTTTTCATATTCCCAGCGACAAATGCAAGAACCAGCGCATCCAACGCCACGAATGGGCCTCCGGCCTGGAGAAGTTCATGACAGAGAACAAAGGCTGGGGCGTGAGAACGAAACATCGCATCACTTCGGGCGACTTCATCTTGGAGTACGTGGGCGAGGTCGTCTCGGACAAGGAGTTCAAAGTAAGGGACGACTTTATGACAATATCATGTTTTAAATTTTAACAACAGGGACATTCCAAAGTGTATTTGGAAAATCTACAAATTACGTAGATAGCAGAATTACAGAAACACAAAAACAATACCAAGAAGAAATAACTTGTCTTAATAAAAAAATTACTTTACTCAAAACAGAATTTCGTACCTTAAAAAATTCCAAAAAAATTGTATTATATGGCCTAATAGAAGGGCGTCACGATAGTGAGAATGACCTTTTCACCCGTGTTTCTCAAATATTTCATGAAATAATGAATATGACAGATAACATTCTAAACAATGCCATTACGTTTAAAAATACTGGATTGTCCATAGGAAAATTTATGTTTGGCAAATCTCTAGAAGAAAGAAACGAGCTCATCAGAAACATGCAGAATGCAAGGAAAAATGGTGAAAATGCTTATATAAAAAACAATAAACTATACGTAAACGGAAAACCATATTTGAACACAATTCTACTAGAAACCACAAAGCCAAACCCTTCAACCCTTACAAGTACTCATGCAGAATATGATAACTCTTCCAAGACAACACATCATTTGTGTATACAAAAATCACCTCAAGCAGATAACATAGTAGAGAAAAACAAGTCAAAGGATAATCA